CAAAATTAATATAAGTCTCTCCACATTATACACTCAGATACAATATTGCAGATTCTACTCAACTTCTTTATATGCTTCGAGATATTCTGGGCATGAACAACCAGCAAACGATAACGTGAATAGTGTGTTCTTGAAAACAATTTTAAAAACTGAATTGACAGAATGATGCACCCAGTGAACCTACATAAAGGATCATTTTTCAGAGAGCCTATTGTATTTTTCTTTCTTTCTATATTGAATGTGAATAGCCCTGACTTCACCTTCACTGGTAAAATATATCATAAACATCTTGGCTATCTCATACTTATCCTGCAAATGAAACAGATGACATCTAGTAAGGTCAAAACAGCTGTGACTGGGATTTCTGACTGCACTTTAAACAGTGCCCATATGCTTTAGGGATGCAATAAAATGCAGGCAGAGATGGAAAAGCAATAGACCACAAACGCACATTTGTTGAAAATGAATATTTATTGCCTGTAAATATTAACCCATAGGCTGCTTTAGAACAAATTTTGCACAAAGAGTGAGATCTAAAAGGTGCTTTAAGAATGTGAACAATCATATTTAATGTGTGACATGATTATCATGGCTTGATACAGATACAGGTCATGAGTCATGTACCAGGAATGAGGTATTAATGGCTCGGTTGAGACCCAGAGTCTGAATCATGACTCGTTATCACCAGAATGCGTATGTGATTGTAAATGTAACAGATATTTTTCACTAACTGTCTCATCTGATGGACCAAACTTGCTTACATTAAAATTATACAATAAACACCAAAACCACTTCAACTTAATAATGTAAGAAGATGTGATTGCAGGTATGTCAAAACACCATAACCACTTCATCTAATCAAAGTAGATCTTTTTTTTAGCCTGTCTTAAAAAAAATAGTTCTGGAAATCAATACCATTTTTTTTTTGTTTGGATCACAAAGCATCCTTGTTTTCTGTATGGACAAACAGTCTTCCTGGAGAGATATTTGTCCATCCAGAAAGGCTGGGAGAGAGGATAGTAAACCCGGTAATATCAGGATGCCCATGGACTTCAACTCCTGCCATTCTCAGGGAGACACTGGCTGAAGTTAGCTGGAATTAAAATATACAACTGATTTAATGGGACAGTGCATGTAGAATATAACTCGAATCCACCTCATCCAATGGTTGGCTGGGCCTCATAAGAATTTTAGTAAAACGTTTTATATAGAAAGTCACCATTTTTTAAAGACACCAAAAAATTATAAATAACCACCAATCTCTACAAAGGGCTATGGAATGGAGTTATATTCTCAGTTCTAATAAGTGCTGTTTGTGGGCAAATAGTTTGGATTATTTAAAATCAAGCACAGATTTAAAGCATCATGGCACAGATTTAAAAAATTCGGGTCTGTAGTTTAGCCATCTGGCAGCATTCGGTCCGTTTGAGATCCGGACCAAATTCAGACTAGTTAATAAGCTATTGATAAATACTACGAACAATGTTTTTATTTTTGAGTCCGAATAGCCTCGTATGCAGTTGGATGGTTTTGCCCAAACGTTACGGAGCCATTCTGACTTTAGTGACTAACTCTGTTGGTGGATGTTCGACTGTGACAGTTTATCCTCCAATCACTGTGAATTCTGTATATGTGTGTGCTCTGTAAAAGTAAAAGATAAAAGGTATAGAGTAGCTGAATTGCTGACATCACTGATGTCATCTAGACATAGCCAGTTAATATTTAAAGTGTTAAGGAAATAATAATTTTGGAATAAAGAGATACTTTATTGGAGATTAATGTTTCACATTTATATTCGCAATAACATATTAAGCAAATGTATCCATGCAAATTTAAAGGGATAGTCAGTTGGACAACTACAGCTTAATGTATTTGTTCTGGTGTCTATAGCCTATCCCTGCAGGCCTTTTGCTGTAAACACTGCCTTTTCAGTGTTTGCATCTATGATTTGTGTTGCAATTTATTTTATAGATATGTCACACTTCCTACTTATGACTCTAAACCATGGACTTCTCAATTCCTTCAAAATGGCTTAAGCTGCACTAGCCATATTTGTACTGCTTTTGTAGAGTGTGCTTTTGCCATTCTTAATATGCACAAAAGGAGGTGTGATTATTAATCAGTGGGTTATTATTATTGTTTCTTTGAACATGACTCTGGCAGACAATGGTCATCTGACTGCTAATGGTCACTTAGCATATCAAAAGAACCCACTATCTATGGGTTGATACAGGCACATGGTAGCTCAGCCAGTTAGTTCCCATTGTAGCTAGACTTAGAAGCAATTCATGTGTAACGTTTCACACCTGGCAGAGGAGCTCTGGTTGGAGTCACAACTTCAAAAAATAAATTCATGCTGTAAGCCTCCTAACATCTATTGCATTTCTATAAAATAAATTACCACTCTCATGTTGAAATTGTCCACACCACCTCTACTAGGTAGTCAATTCATGCATGCACTACCATGGGCGTCCGCAGGGGGGGGGCAAGGGGGATTTTTCAGCTTGTTCTGCTATTTTTCGTGTGAGATTTAGAATGAACTGCAATACCAGCGCCGGCCAGTAGGTGGCGCTGTGTATGGAGAGAGACAGGGATAGGAAGCTGCATCTTATCCCTGCTTCTCTCTGCTGATTGAAACCGCAGGGGAACAACACATGCAGCCAGAGACAGCCTACAGATCAGGTAAGTGGGGGGAGGGTTTGAGATAGCCTATAGATTTGGGGGGGCAGCAGCCTATAGATTTTTTTGGGGGGAGGGGGCAGCAGCCTATAGATTTTTTTTGGGGGGGCAGCAGCCTATAGATTTTGGGGGGGCAGCAGCCTATAGATAAGGGAAGTGAGCATAGGCGTGCACAGCCTATTGCATTAGGGTGTGCACCCTAAAGCACAAACACGCCATGTGTATATGTATGTGTGTGTATGTATATATATATATATATATATATATACATACATACATACACACATATATATATATATATATATATATACACACATATACATATATACACATATACACATACATATTATATATATATATACATATATGTTATATATATATATACATATATGTTATATATATATATACATGTATACACACACACACTGCTGTGTGTGTGTGTGAGGGTGCTGTTAGTGTGCTGTGTGTGAGGGTGCTGTTTGTGAGGGAACTGGTAGTGTGCTGTGTCTGTGTGTGTGTGTGTGAGAGGGTGTTTGTGTGTGCGTGTTTGTTCGGGTCCTGTTAGTGTGCTGTTTGTGTGCGGGTGTTGTGTGTTTGTCAGGGTGCTGTTTGTATGAGAGTGTGCTGTTTGTATGAGAGTGTGCTGTTTGTGTGTGGGTGCTGTGCGGGTGTTGTGTGTGGGTTTTGTGTGTTTGTGAGGATGCTGTTAGTGTGCTGGATGTGTGTGGGTGTTGTATGTGTGTGGGTGCTGTGTGTGCGAGGGTGATGTATGTGTGTGTGTGGGTGCTGTTTGTGGGCTGTGTGTGCTGTATGTGTGTGTGCTGTATGTTTGGGTGGAGGTGGGGGCAGACTAGTTAATATCCCAGTCCTGCTGCCTTCCCTGGTGGTTCAGTGGAGAGTGAACTCTAGCCCGGGTTCTCTGCTGCCTCCCTCCATGCTGCTGTGGACCGGTGAGGTAGAACTTTGATCTCCCCACCGGCCCATGGAGGCTTAGACCAGAGCCGCCGCTCGGATAGCGTCGGCTCTGCATGAGCCGACCGGGGAGATCCAGAGATCTCCCCTGCCGGTCTCAATCCATTGGCGTGCCGCGGGGATTAGGGTGTGCCCAGGCACACCCGACACACCCCGTGCGCACGCCTATAGAAGTGAGGAATGGGGGAGACAGCCTACATGAAGAGTCAGCAAGGAGCAGGAAGGTAAGGTAAGAAAAGGAGAAGGAACAGAAATGAGCAGGAAGGGACATCAAGGAGCAGAAAGGGGCAGCAAAGAGCTGGAAGGGACAGCAAGGAGCACAAAAGGTAAAGTAGGAGAAGGAGCACAAAGGAACAGAAATGAACAGGACGGGTCAGCAAGGAGCTGGAAGGTAAAGCAGCACAAAGGTAAAGTAGAAGGAGCAGAAAGGGTCAGAAGTAGGCTGGAAGGGCAGAAGGAGCACAAAGGTAAAGTAGGAGAATGAGCAGGAAGGGGCAGCAAGGAGCAGAAAAGGGCAGCAAAGGAGCACAAAGGGACAGCAAGAGGCACAAAGGTACCAAGAGCAGAAAGAATCAGAAGGAGCACAAAGGTAAAGTAGGAGAAAGGAGCAGAAAGGGACAGCAAGGAGCACAAGGTAAAGTAGAAAAGGGAGCAGAAAGGGTCTGCATGGAGCAGAAAGGGATCAGAATGAGAAAGGAGCAGAAGGGTGCAAAATAAGCAGAAAGTAGCAGAAAGGTAAAAGAGCAGAAGGGGCCAAGGATAGAAAACAGTGTCAGAAGAAAAAAAAAGACTGTCAAATGAAGGAGAGGAAAAGGAGATTGGGGCAGGAAGGACAAATGAAGTGAACCCTCCACTTTATTCTGGACACCACATCATAAGGCTTTGGTACCTGGGCCAGGCAGGGAAACACTGGACCTTCTCATCTCCAAAGGTAAAAAAATATCAGTATTAATGTGTTCACTTTTATTTACTGAGTGTCAGGAAGCACAGAGTGCCGTTGGGTAGGAGTGTTGCTGATTGGCTAGAGCGGTCAGCTGGCACTCTAAGCCAATCAGTAGCTCCCCATTCATAAAAAAGTAAAAATATTTTATGAACCGGGAAGTAGCGATTGGCTTAGAGCGTCAACTGTCCACTCTAGCCAATCAGCGGCACCCATGCCTGACGTCAATCTGCAAATACCACTGAGCGACCTGGAGCTGGAGGAAGCCTTTGGGGTTAAACCATTTGAGAGCGATTTAACCCCTTAAAGGAAAGCGAGCACCCAGGGGCTTCCTGGCATCATAGCATTTTCATTTAGGTGAAGTTGTTATGGTGACCAGAATGGTCCTTTAATTTGCTTAAAAGAACACTATAGTGTCAGGAATACAAACATATATTCCTGACACCATAGTTGTGAAAACGCTATTCACCCTGGCTTTATGTGATAATGGCTATGCCTCTTCCCTTTCATGACACTGTCAAAAAGGTACCAAGCATGGATGTCATTACAATTATGCCCCCCCCCCTGGAAAAATTCCTGCGGACGCCCATGGGTGGGGGGAGAAAAATATATATATATTTTTATTTTTAACTTGTATAGGAAAAAGCATTTTTTTTTCTTTGTGGGAATGATCCAATAGAATTCAAGCTGTTCCTGTGTGTCCAGCTCGTATTGTTGCAAATACATGTCTGTTAGTCCACCTATATAAATAATAATAATAAGAGGTTAATGGGCGTATGTATGTATGTGTATATGTATATTGTATTATTTTTTTTGTTTGTAAGATTGTACCCTATTGTAACAATGCAAGGTTTGTGGGCCAAGGACATACTTGAAAACAAGAGAAATCTCAATGTATCCTTCCTGGTATACATATATAAATTAATACAGTATGTACGTTGTAGTGGATATCGTGCCAGGGGTGCCTGGGATCCCTCTTCTGGATAAGTAGTCAAATAGTTTATGAACTTACCCGAAAGGCATCAGTCACAGCCTCTTCTGAAAGCTTCCTCCCTGGTGTGCAGGGCTGGCTTATCGGCTGAGAGTGTCAGCTGAGTGCAACCAGGTAATGGGCTAAGTCCCATACTGCCAGGCACAGCTCAATACAGGGACTTTTCAGTGGTAGAAGAGGAGGTAGCTGCTGCCTGTCAGACCCCAGATGAGTTGCCAATTACTTTGAATACAGAGACTGGGAGGGTGCCAGGGCACTTCAGGCCCCATAACCTGTACATCATGCTGTAGTAGTTATGGTACTCGGAGTGTTCCTTTAACCCCTTAAGGACCAAACTTCTGGAATAAAAGGGAATCATGACATGTCACACATGTCATGTGTCCTTAAAGGACCACTCTAGGCACCCAGACCACTTCAGCTTAATGAAGTGGTCTGGGTGCCAGGTCCTTCTAGGGTTAACCCATTTTTTAATAAACATAGCAGTTTCAGAGAAACTGCTATGTTTATCAATGGGTTAATCCTTCCTCCAAATCCTCTAGTGGCTGTCTCATTGACAGCCGCTAGAGGCGCTTGCGTGATTCTCACTGTGAAAATCACAGTGAGAGCATGCAAGCGTCCATAGGAAAGCATTATGAATGCTTTCCTATGCGACCGGCTGAATGCGCGCGCATTCAGCCCAGGAGGAGGAACGGAGGAGGAGAGGAGGCAGAGAGCTCCCCGCCCAGCGCTGGAAAAAGGTACGTTTTTACCCCTTTCCCCCTTCCAGAGCCGGGTGGGAGGGGGACCCTCAGGGTGGGGGCACCCTCAGGGCACTATAGTGCCAGGAAAACGAGTATGTTTTCCTGGCACTATAGTGGTCCTTTAATGGGTTAAAGGACCACTCCACACTTGGCGACAAAGGCACAGTTAAGTAGATATACCGCCAATAAATACATGCATATTTTTATGTATGTTTTCATTGGGGGTATAGTTTAAAAGAGCTTGGAATCGACTTTCAGTCACTTCATATAAAATTGTCTAATCAGAGGTTGCTATTTCAGTGTCTCTCCTCCCTCCAGTCCATCCATGTGTCCCAGTCCCCACTTCCCTCCATGTATCTAAGACCCCCCTCCTGTCCCCTCCATGTGTAATGGACCTCCTGCCCTCCTCGTGTCGCAGACCCCCCTCCATGTGTCACAGTCCCCCTCTCCTTCATGGGTCTCAGACCATCCCTTTCCTCCATGTGTCTCAGACCATTCGTCCCCTCCATATGTCTTAGTCCCCCCTTCTCTCCCCTGTATGTGTCCTCCTCTTCTCCATGTTTCTCAGTCCCCCTCCCATCCACTCCATGTGTCTCAGACCCCCCCCTCCTCATGGGACACATGCAGGGAAGGGGGGACTGTCTCATGGAGGAGAGGGAGACATGGACTATAAGCTTCCCCTCCTGCTGGGCTATTAGAGTGCCTGCTACCTCTGTCACCTCAGTGGAGCTAACATAAGTAAGAAGTGTATCTCCCTAGCTGCTTGTTTGACAACTGGGCAGGTGTAAGTATTTTGAATTATTAAAATGCTAATTTCACGATGAAATTGTCACATTTATTAGGATTTTAAATGTTTAATCCACAGCCATATAGCAATTTGTTAAGCTGAAGTGCTCTATGGTTATGAATCGCTCCTTTAACTCTCTTTTCTAGGTTTAATACCAAGACACCAGTGAAAAAGCTACATGTATTTCCTGTGAGAAGTGTCATCATACTGCCTTATTACAGGATGGGCACGCAATGATGTCACCAATCACCAGTGAAGTAGGCCAAAGCTTAGAACGATGCTGGAAAGGGGGTAGAAAGTTGCGGCTTAAAAGTTGGTAAGAAATAATGGCCATGACAGTGCAGGACCTGGACCCCACAAGCAGGCAAATGGGCAGTGAAGTGAAATGTGTAGACCAAATAATTACAATGGTGAATTGTAACGAAACAACCAAAATGGATATGTGTATATATTGATTTTAATCTTTTTGCAATTTGGCTACATTGACTTAAACACTGTAATTAATTTCTTCACAATTCACTGTTTAGTGAATAAACCCATTGTCCCTTATCGAACGCATACACCGAGACAATGTTAAATAATGGCCACAGGATTAATTTACCCAATTTACACATCACGTTGCTTTTCTGAAAAAGAAAAAAAACAAAACACCCACATTGTTCCATATTGGATGAGTTACTGCAAATCTTTATTTCACAAGATAAACTTGGGGGGGGCCGGAAAGCATTTTATTTTTTTGCCTTGAAATACCACCGTTCGCATAACGGTCTTTAATAACATCTATTATATTAAAAGCATCATTTGCTGTTGACGTTGCCAATAGCCAGAGATGATCTGTGTGCCGAAAAACTCGAATGACAAGAGATATTTGTCTTTAGATGTAAAATGCTATCTTTATGTCTAACCTACACTATCTTCAGAAAAAATGACTCCAATTAAGGCTTCATCCAAAATACTTACAGCAGAATGGATGACATGGTGTCACCTTTTAAACAGGCCTTTCTGTTGTTCTTTTTTTTTGTCTCATAGAATGCTAGCGGTATTTTATAACGATCATAAAATATTCCAGGTTTATGGTCATCGTAGATCATTTGCCACATTTTTCTTTCTTGTGTGTCATTTGTATTCTTTAAATTAAATTGTTGCTTTATTTTAAATGTGAAGTGTCACATTTCCTTTTTAGTGCTAAACCCTGTGTTTTTAAAAGCACGTAAGTGTACTTGCCACTAAACAATTAAGTGCAAAAAATATGAACAAAGTGTTTGGTTTTAATCTAGTTTACTCTTTGTACACCGTGCAGTGAAATGTAACAAAAGGGAGATTTTCTAAATTAAAAACAACAACAAAATCTTCTAAAGTGAAAACGAAATTCTTTTATCATAAACACAATTTAAAATGTAACTTCTATAACTACTAGAGGGTATTGAGTGGTAGGAAATCTGTGAGGCTAACAAAACCACTTCAATATGCGTCAACAATACTATGAAATAATTTTGTGCTGGTATTCCACACCAGTTAAGCTCTATCATATTCATAAA